AATGAATAAGTAAATCTTAAAAAAAAAAACTTGTTGATGGAAAATATCCTTGAAAAAATTTAGTCTCACATCCTAGGGCATATTTTCTGGTCCTTACAATTTTCAGTAGCCCATTTCATTTTTGTCAGACTTCTTATCATTTGGGAATTACAAAAAGTTCAAAGCCTCGCATTTGTATGGAAAAAGTAACTATCTTTAAAAGTGTAGAATTAGAATTGCAAGTCTTGTTTTCATTTTCTTGTTACATTTCTTTCAATTGCAGAGTTTTGTTGTTTGCTTTTTACTGGAAATGTATGGCTTTAGAAATCTGTTTATTTGTTCGAATTGCAAACAAGCTGGCAGTATTTTTGTTTGTTTAATGAGATTTGCAATTAGACTATGGAACCTAGAGGAAGGACATTTTACTTAGCTGTTGGCGCTTGGTACCCTGTTTTCCTTTTAAATGTTATTTTCTTGATCATAAACAAAACAAAACATTGTAAGTTAACTGTAGAAAATACCCCAAATCAAAAAGGAAGTACTCATCTCCAACACCTCTAGGTGGCTCACACTTTAGGGAATGTTTCTCTGGCCATTTGCGCATGTAAACACATTCGCATAATTTTCATCTTACGGTGGAATCATACAGTATAGTTAACTGGTTAATTCATTTGCTGTGTCAGTATTTCTCCTTAGCTTTATTTCAAGTGTCTCTCTATGGTAGTATTTCTAGATGGAAATACTGTAATGATTTGTTTTTAAACTTTTTATTGTAGAAATACGAGACAGTAAAATACATAGAACACATGTTCAGCTTGATGAGTTATTAGAAAATAAACACCCTTGTAATTGCCACTCAGATCAAGACATTGAATATGGTCAGCAGCCAGGAGCCCCCTGAGTATCCTTTCCCAATCACCATCCCTTCTTTCCCCTTAAAGGTAACTACTGTTCTGACTTTATGGAAGTTTTTTTTGTTTGTTTTTCTTTATTTCCCACTTGTGTTTGCTTCTCCAGTTTTTCCACCTTATACAAATGGAATCATTACAGTATGCAGTCTTTTATCTGGCTTTTGTTTAATATTTTGTTTTTAAGATTCATCATATTATGAGTAACTATAGGTCATTAATTATATAATATCCATTTAATGCACTACCATGTATTTATTTTGATGATGGGCACTTCGGTTTTTATAGCCCGATTACAAATGATGCTGCCATGAACATCTGGATGTGCTTCCCGATGTGTGTGTATACACATGTACTTCTTTTTTTTTTTTTAAAGATTTATTTATTTGTACAAGAACTGGGGTATAGTCACAGCCATGGGAGTGTGAGAGAATTCACCTGAGACAGAGTGGGAAGCAGAACAGGCAGATGGATGGAAGACATTGCTGAGGGGCGCAGCCGGCAAGGCAGGAGAGGTCTGCTGCGCCATGTGGGAATCTCCCTGGCTGGCTGGATGGATATCGAACCCGTGCTGCAGAGGCTGCAGACAGCTTCACAGCGCGGCATTCAACCCGCTGTGCCACCGGGGAGGCCCTACACATGTACATCTCTAGGCAATCCAAACCTCTGGCTTTGCTGAATCATAGGATATTTGTATCTTTAACTATACCAGATTATGCGAAACTATATTATCAAAGGGTTCAGTTTTGGTATACCTATTCCATATCCTCATTAGCACTATTTAGTATTATTAAACCTTGACTTGAGCCACTGTGGATGTGCTGATACCTCATTGTGGTTTTAATTTTCATTGTTTTATGTCTTTGAAATTAAATACCTTTTTATATAATTGTTGGCCATTTGGATATCCTGTTTGGTATAGTGCCTAATTCATGTCTTTCGTCTGTTTTTCTTCTGGATTGCTTTTTTTTCTTATTGATTCATGTAGTCTTCATACAAGTTCTCGATTGGTTAAAAGAGTTGCACATTCTTCCTCAACTCTACCTAACTTGCCTTTTTTACTCCATTAATGTTGTCTTTTGTTGAATGGAGGATCTTAATTTTAACATAGATTTTAAGGATTAATGCTTTTCATGTCCTATGAAAATCTTAGAAGTATTGGGTTAAAAACTATAGTATGTGTTTTAGATTTTTGCTTGTAGTTTACTTCCCCATTGGCAGTGTGAACTTTTGATACCATCTTCATTCTCACCAACAATGTATGCGTAATTTCCCCATGCTCTTGCCATGGGTCATTTTGGGGTCTTTTTTTTTTTTTAAGATTTATTTATGCTTACAAGAAGTGGGGTATAAGCCAGAGCTGGGGGTTTGTGTGTGAAAGGATTCACCAGAGACAGAATGGGGAGCAGAACAGTCAGATCTACTGAAATACACTGCTGAGGGGAGCAGCGGGCAAATAAGGAGAGGTCTGCTGTGCCGTGTGCTGCAGTGGCTGGTGATAGTTTGACAGCACTGTCTTTAATCCCTGCGCCACAAGGAAGGCCCCACTTTTGGGTTCATTTTTGCCAATGTAATAGAACTCTTCTTTCATTAATGAGTAACTTAGTTTGCTCATGAGATTTAGAAAATAAATTTGTTGCATCTTTCCAAGAACGTGTTAGTTGATAAGCATAATTGCAAGATTAATACTAAATATATTCTTTAGGCTTTGATTCTGAGAAACATTTGTGGCCAGTGGAGAAGAGAGATATGAATCTAAAAAGCATTATTCTTTATTAAAATCAGCATGATTTGGAGTTTAAGGTAGTGAAAATAAATCTATTAAAACTTAATATAGTGAAGGCCTCCCTGGTGGCGCAAGGGGTTAACCACCGCACTAGGAAGCAATCTGCAGCCTCTGCAGCAGTTTGATCCCCGGCCGGGCAGGGAGCTACTCACATGGCACAGCAGACCTCTCCTGACTTGCCCACTGCTCCCCTCAGCAGTGTGTTTCAGTCAAGTCTGCCTGTTCTGTTCCCCAGTCTGTTTCTGGTGGCTCCTCTTACCGCTCGCATCTCTGGCCTGTACCCCAGCTCTTGTATGCATAAATAAATCTTAAAAAAAAAAAAAAAAAACTCAATATAGTATGTCAAGGGGCCCAGGAAATTGATATTAGATTTTTGTGTATTTTCCTCATAAATCTCTGCTGTATCTGGAAGAGGTAGAATCATGATTTTATATACTTCATGTACTTTGTATACTTCATGTATATACTTTTTATGCTTATATACTTTGTATACTTCATGTACTTTTATTGAAAGAAGACATCCCTGCCCCAATTCATCTCTTCTGATTTCCTCTCACAATATTAATTTATACTCCTTCCTAGTTCTGAGGCATGAAGTAGCTCCTAAGTTTTCCTGGGAAATAGATGAAGTCTAATTTTGTGAGACTCTGGGAAGCATGTGCTGGGGGTTGAAATTGAAGGGAAGTCTGCATTCTAACCTTGTTTTTTGCTATCTTACTTTAGTTCATCGTTTTCACTGGAAACTTCTATCGTAGTAACTCTTCTGCCTTCATACCTCCTTCCCATGGTTGCCAGAATGAAACGCCTAATACTCAGACCATTCCCCTGATTGATATTTTTCAGGAACTCTGAAAGAATCAAAATCTTAATCCCTGGGCCTCCCTGGTGGCACAGGGGTTAAAGTCTCAGCATTATCTAGCTATCACCAGCCACTGCTGCATGAGTTCAATCCTTGGCCAGGGAGCTGACCCACATGGCACAGCAGACCTCTCCTGTTTTACCCAGTGCTCCCTCAGCAGTGTATTTCAGTAGATCTGCCTGTTCTGCTCCCCACTCTATCTCTGGTGAATCCTCTCTAGCCTGTACCCCAGTTCTTGTATGTATACATGAATAAGAATTAAAAAAAAAAAATCTTGGGCCTTCCCTGGTGGCGCAGGCGGTTGAGCGCCGCACTGTGAAGCTGTCCGCAGCCTCTGCAGCGTCGGTTTGATCCCGGCTGGTCAGCTGGCAAGGGTCCTACATGGTGCAGCAGACCTCTCCTGTCACGCCCGCTGCTCCCCTCCGCAGTGTATTTCATCAGTCTGCCTGTTCTGTTCCCTGCTCTGTCTCTGGTGAATACTCTCACCCTCCTGCGCATCTGGCCTGTACCCCGGTTCTTGTATAAAAATAAATAAATCTTGGGCCTCCCCGGTGGCGCAGCGGTTGAGCGCTGGGTTGCGAAGCTGCCCGTGGCCTCTGCGGCGCCGGTTCAATCCCTGGCTGCTCTCCTGCTGCCTGCTCTGCTCCCCGCTCTGGCTCTGGTGAATTCTCTCACCCTCCCGCGCTCCTGACTGTACCCAGTGCTTGTATAAACAAAACAAACAAACAAATAAATAAAACATGCCCCTGTAAATAAATAAATAAATAAATAAATAAATCTTTAAAAAAAAATCTTACTCCCTAAGCTCAGTGTCTTTATCATCTTTCTTGCCTCCTACTCCTACTGAAATTACATTTTCCTTGAGTTTTAGGATATTCTTCCACTTTGTTCATCTCACTAGCTAGAACTCCCTTTCCCCCACTGCCTTTGCATCTGTGTACTAGCTAATTTCTGAAATTCAACTCAACCTATCTCCTTGGAGCTTTACCTCCAAAGTACCTCCCTGATTCTTACTTACTTTTCTGTATTTCCATGCTTTTTACCCTCCAATTCCAGGAGTTAGATGCCCGCCCTTCTGGGCTGCCACAGCTCATACCTCCTTCTATCACTGCATTGTGTTACTATGATGGATCTGATTTTTTTAACCATCTCAATTGAACTCTTTGGGGGCAGACTCCTGTTTCTCTACCTTCCATGCCTCTTCCCTCCTCCCCCAATCAGGAGATATCATGATGTACCTTGTAGGAGCTATCCCGTAACTATATAATGAATGAGTGAATGCAAAATTATATGTCTTTATGTAAGAAAAGAACTTTATGTATGAAAAGAACTTACTGAGACAGAGGTCAGTTAGAAAGGGTTAGGAACTTAGTAGTCTGTTCCAAAAGCAATACATATTTAGAAATGACTGCTGTACTTACAGGATTTGTAGGGTTTTGTTCACCTGAGTTGTGCCTTGCTGTTACAGAAGGATGCCCTGCAATGGTCTCGCAATCCATCTGCAGTAGAAGGAGAGGAGACAGAGGACACAGCTGATGTGGAGAGCTGTGGGTCTAATGAAGCCAGCACTGTGAGTGGTGAAAATGATGGTAAGTGCCCTTAACAAGACGGGCGAGGAGCCATAAGCAGTTGCTGGAAACTGACCTCTGTATCCCTTTCTTCTAGTGTCTCTTGATGAAACATCTTCAAATGCATCTTGTTCTACAGAATCTCAGAGCCGGCCTCTTTCCAATCCCAGGGACAGCTACAGAGTTTCCACACAGGTAGGGAGGAGAGTTGATGATGAATATGTGGTGGGGAGGCGGGGAAGAGGACAGGTGGGCAGGGAGAATAAATAAGACCAGCCCCAGGATTAAGATTCTTCTCCTTTTGCAGTTGACTGTGAATGTATTTAAAGAGTGGAGAAAGTCAGTTTGGTGTCTGCCAGTACCATTTAAAAATGGACTGTGGGAAAAATAAGCAGTAGATCTGAGAGCAAACAGAGTGATTGTTTTTTCTCTCTACCATGGTGGATAGTTTGTTTGTACTTACAATGAACACATTGAACATCCATGGAGAAGTGTAGCTTAGTGTGGAGTGAGGGGAATGCAAGCCTGTGAGTCAGCAGTTGGAATTAATGGCCCTGTCACTCACTAGCTTTGGACCCTTGGGCAGATTCATTATCTATAAAATTAGGAATGACAATACATTCTTCAGCTGAGGGTGATGCTTGGCACAGTGGTCAGCACCTGGCTCACTAACATTAGTCAGTGCTGCTCAGCAGGTTCAAGCTGGCTGAATAGGAGCTCTGTTTCACAAGAGAGTAGATGGAGGCATGGTGAAGAGGGCTGGAGTTGTGGCTCCGAAGTGACTCGGGCTCTTTATGTATTCCTTGGGGACATATAGGGAAACAAGCAAAAGAAAAAGACTGGGGTGATGCTGCCTCGAGTTGTTCTGACACCTCTGAAGGTAAACGGGGCCCACCTGGAATCTGCATCAGGTATGTGTAAACTCGTGACCGTGATGGTTCTTCCACAGGTCCTGAGGACCTTGCCTCCCTGTGGCAGTGGTTTCTGACCTAGGTAGTATGGTGCCAGTAGAGTCAGGACATCCTCCTCTGGCAGGCAGCATGCTGTGGTGGTGAGACCTGACCTAGGTTCCAGTGCTAGGCTCTGTTATGCTCTCCCCTTTGCCTCACAGGGCAGTTGTGAGGATTGTATGGAGGGTTATGCAGGTGCTGTGTAAAATGTGCTGTACAATGCTTTAATGCTATACAAACTAAGACTGCAGTTTGGCATTCTTACATGATATTTTAAAGCCAGCCCATGAGGTGGTGATCCTGACAGCCAGAGATTGGGCTTTGGAAGCCCCCGGTATTGCTGGCAGCATCTCAGGGAGAGCTGGGAGAAGTAAGCTTATCTGAGAGCCATGGGCGCGGCATGGATACTTTTGACCAGTGGAATGCTGTGCCTTCAGGGTTCTCGGGCCGCCACGCCGATGGCGAGAGCGGCAGCCCGTCCAGCAGCAGCAGCGGCTCTCTGGCCCTGGGCAGCGCTGCTATTCGTGGCCAGGCCGAGGTCGCCCGGGACCCTGCCCCGCTCCTGAGAGGCTTCCGGAAGCCAGCCACAGGTGAGTGGCTTGGCACTCATTTCTCTGCCTGTAAAGGGGGGGCCCCTACAGGCCTAGTAGGAAGATGGTGTCTTCTCCACTTCCTTTATCACTTTCTTTTTACTTCTTGGGTGGCCCTCCATTTTTTGTTTTTACTTGTATTTTGATTATGTCATGTATAGATCTCTGCTAGACTGAAAGACTTGTGGGCAGAGATGGTGCCACATCACTCTTTGTATGTCCCCCAAAAGGTCCTAGCCCATGCTGCCTTGGTCATAGTAAGTGTTCAAGTGAGTGAAATGGCTTCTGAGTTTCTCAGTGAAGAATTCCAAATTGGATTTCTTTCTTTGGTAGTATCCTGCCACACTGGTTCTCAACATCTGTAGTCTATGTCAGATGCCCTTTTTTAAAAACTAGTCAGTATGTTGAATGGGAGCCAATGGGGAATTTTGGGGATACAAGCAAATTCAGTAGCCTGCACCTCCCACACAGGGCTATTATTTACAAGGCTAGTATGATGCTTGCTATTTCAGGATTTACATCTCAAAGCCTACATGGCAGTTACTTGTAGATAGGCCACATGAAGCCATGAAGACGACTAGCCTTGGATCCTGAAAATTTGAATAAACCATTGCCTGAGTGGGAACTAGTTTTATTGTCTTAATGCTTTTCTACCCCATCAGTAATGCTCAGTCTAAGGTCTTGCAGGTCTCTAATAGAATTTTTTTTCCACATAAAACTAACGTGTAGTGACTTTTGAGAAGTATTGATACTCCAGTAGACTTGAAACAACTCTTAAGTCCCTTTGGACATGGAGATACCTCTTCAGCCCATTTATAGAAGTCTTCAGACTTTTTCTATAGTACGCTAACAAGATATGCTTTTAGACAACTTCTATCATTTCTCCAGTTGGCTTTTGTAACCTGTCCTCCAACTTTGGAGGGAAGCTGAGAGTTTGCCTCCTTGCCTGGTTTTCTATGGGAAGAGTGTCCTCCTCAGGCTGTGACACAGCATGGCACAGTCTTATCTGGAAGGATGTAAGGCCAAATTTTCTCTTAGGTTTGATGGCAATGAGAGTACTCTAAAAAGAATAATTGTATATTAGAGTGAACTGAACGATAGAGCAGATTGTGTGCAGATAAGTTCTGGGTAGCTTGGGTGCTGCCACCAAAATTTCTCCCTCAGTTGGCATTTGCTATCATGATTTAAAAAGCTGAAAAACCTTTATTTTGCTTCTTACTGCTTCAAAAATCACAGGTCAAATGAAGCGCAACAGAGGGGAAGAGATAGATTTTGAGACGCCTGGGTCCATTCTTGTAAACACCAATCTCCGGGCCCTGATAAATTCTCGGACTTTCCACGCCCTGCCATCCCACTTTCAGCAGCAGCTCCTCTTCCTCCTGCCAGAAGTGGACAGACAGGTGCAGTTGGGTGGCTTCCTCTTTGCTTCTTTATGGATAGGCTTCTTTTCCTTTCTTATATTTGCTTATTGGATTTTCTACCTGCTCCTTCTAGGTGGGGACAGATGGCTTGTTTCGTCTTAGCAGTAGTGCACTGAACAACGAGTTTTTCACCCATGCGGCTCAGAGCTGGCGGGAACGTCTGGCTGATGGTGAGTAGACTTTCTCATCTCAGATGGCTAGAGAGGTAACTACCATGTGTGGTGTTGCTGGCATTTAAATTCCATACATTTTCCATCTTTTTTCCCCCAATGGGTATTTAATATAAGTCAGACTTTCCTCACAAAATTAATAAATGTGATGGGTATTACTGTGCTCCATAGTGCTAATGAAGCTAGGGAGTATTTGGGCTTTCATTTCATTTGTATGTTCCTGTGTTGCATCACTTCTTCATCGTTAAAATTATAATCTTTCTGGTAACCATGGCATTGTCCAGATGGGTGGAAGAAAGTGCACTGTGGCATTGAACTACACAGCAAACTACCAGGTGCTGTTTTGTCGGACATTGCCACTTGGAATGATTGTTAGCTTAGTTTTGCAGGAAAGCTACATGGAAGGGTTGAGAGGTCCCAAAGGCACCCCCTTCAGGTTTGGTAATTGACTAGGATTTGTGGACTCAGTATGTAGTGATACCCAGAGCTATACATTCTTGGAATGAAAAACTATATAGCAAAATCAGTAAAGGGAAAAGACACCTGAAATGAAGTTCAGGAGTGAGCTTCCAAAATCCTCTCCTTGTGGTGTCACACAAGATATACTTATTCTTGCAGCAGTGAGTTGTGACAACACATGTGAAGTGTTGTCTACCACAGAAGCTTGTTAAAAACTTAGTGCCCAGGGTTTTCTTTGGGAACTGATCATGCAGGACCTCTAGCTGGCACACATCCAAATTCCAGATTCCCCAAAGGAAAGCAGGTACTTGCCATAAACAGTCTTATTTGCATAAAAAGCTTAGGCACAGTGAGCCATTCATATCAATTTAGGGGAAGGTGGGAACCCTCCTGAAATCAAGTTCTCAGATGTCAGCCAAAGGTAAGTCTGCTAAGCAGACCTTCTTAAGGGTAAGCAGCCAGGCCTGCTGTGTTACTTTCTATGCACAGAAAGTAAGAATAGGTCTTTTGTTTATTGTTTTGCTTTTTTTTTTTTTAAAGATTTATTTATTTATGCATACAAGAGCTGGGGTACAGGCCAGAGATGTGGGGGGTGAGAGGATTCACCAGAGACAGAGTGGGGAACAGAACAGGCAGACTGACTGAAATACACTGCTGAGGAGAGCAGCGGGCGAGACAGGAGAGGTCTGCTGCACCGTGTGGGTTGCTCCCTGGCTGGCTGGGGATCGAACTGGTGCTGCAGAGGCTGCGGATTGCTTCATAGTGCGGTGCTTAACCCCTTGCGCCACCAGGGAGGCCCTTGTTTTGCTTTTTGGATTGATGTGTTGCTTAATTACCCTAGTGAAGAGTCAATTTCCCTTATAATAGATGTGTTGGTCTGTCATGTGAGATAGCCTCTGGAGGAGACAGACCAGTGTGAAAAGATGGTGAGGGTTAAAAAAAAATGTCCAAGGCCTCCCTGAGGTGGTAAAATGGGTTAATTCTCAGCACTATGAAGCAATGCGCAGCCATTACAGCACAAGTTCAATCCCTGGCCAGGGAACTGGTCCATTTGTTGCAGTAGACCTCTCCTGTCTCGCCCTCTGCTCCCCCAGCAGTGTATGTCTGTCTGTCTCTCTCTCTCTCTCTGTCTCTCTCTCTCTCTTTCTGTTTTTCTGTCTTTCCTTTCTTTTTTTCCTTTCCTTTCCTTTCCCTTTCTTTTCCCTTTCCTTTCCCTTCCTTCCTTCTTCCCTCCCTCCCTCCCTCTCTCTCTCTCTCTCTCCCCCTTTCTTTCTCTCTCTCTCCCCCTCTTTCTTTCTTTTCTTTCTTTTCTTTTTCTTTCTTTCTGTCTTTCTGTCCCTCTCTTCTTCCTTCCTTCCTTCCTTCCTCCTTCCTTCTCCTCTCTCCTCTCTCTCTCTCTCTCTCTCTCTCTCTCTCTCTCTCTCTCTCTCTCTCTCTCTCTCTCTCTCTCTCTCTCTTTCTTAGAACCGGAGTACAGGACAGATGCGCAGGAGAGTGAGAGAATTCACCAGAGACAGAGCAGGGAACAGAACAGGAAGACTGACGAAGTACACTGCTGAGGGGAGCAGCGGGCGAGACAGGAGAGGTCTGCTGTGGTATGCATCAAACCGGCACTGCAGACGCTGTGGACAGCTTCACAGCGCTGCGCTCAACCCCAGCAGTGTATTTCAATAGATCTGCCTGCTGTGCTGCTCACTCTGTCACTGGTGAATCCTTTCGCCCCCTGCACCTCTGGCCTATACCCCAGCTCTTGTATGCATAAATAAATAAAATCTTTTTTAAAAAAAATCTCTGAAGTCACATGTATTTTGAAAACTCCTGATGTGGTATAACTGCAAGATTTGGCTTTCTGTAAGATCGACATTAATGTTCTGAATGCATGCACTTCAAAAGTTTTATTTCTCTTTAGGTGAATTCACTCATGAGATGCAAGTCAGGATACGACAGGAAATGGAGAAGGAAAAGAAGGTGGAACAATGGAAAGAAAAGTTCTTTGAAGACTACTATGGACAGAAGTAAGACACTTAGTGCTGAGTCCTAGTTGGACTTTCGGTGGGTGGAGATAGTGGTAGATGTTCTCCAAGTCATGCAGCTTACATTGTATGAGAATGTGGAGATTGCAGTGACTTAGGTTATTCCGCTGAGTGCCATTCATAGGGAAGCTGACATGTTTTCTTTGATTAGTGTCATATACCGTGCAGATTTATTTTGTTTTGAGATAACTGTTATGGATACGTTTAGGGAAATAAAGTAAATTTGCTCTCTCTGGCCTGTAACTGATGCTGTAAGTTTGGTTTGCAGATTGGGGTTGACCAAGGAAGAGTCGTTGCAGCAGAATGTGGGCCGCGAGGAGACTGAAATCAAGAGTAATTTGTGTGTCCCAGGAGAATCGGCACGTTCACAGCGTGGTCCAGCCACCCGCCAGCGAGATGGGCATTTCAAGAAACGCTCTCGGCCAGATCTCCGAACCAGAGCCAGGAGGAATCTGTACAAGAAGCAGGAACCAGAACAAACAGGGATTGCAAAAGACACACAGTCTGTGGTCCCAGATACTCCCCTCTACAAGGAGGGGGAGGCTGAGACTGATGCACCAGAGGGTGGCAGCCCCCACCTGCCAGGAACATCTTCTGCAGCACCTAACCCAGAGGGTCTTGAATCCCCAGGTGAAGCTCTGGCTTCCCAGATCCAGACCGAAACAGAGGATCTGGTGCATGCCTCTTCTTCTCCAGATAGAATTCCCAGCTTGCCTCAGGAGACTGTGGATCAAGAGCCCAAGGATCAGAAGAGAAAATCCTTTGAGCAGGCGACCTCTGCATCCTTTCCCGAAAAGAAGCCCCGGCTTGAAGATCGTCAGTCCTTTCGTAACACAATTGAAAGTGTTTACACCGAAAAGCCACAGCCCACCAAAGAGGAGCCCAAAGTCCCGCCCATCAGGGTAGGAAGCTGTTTGAATTTTGACTGCCCTGGGACCATGATTCCTCTGGGGGTCAGGAGATATATGGAATCTTTGCAGGGACAGAAAACCCTGGGCCTCTTGTTGTTAATGTGTGTATGTAGTGCCCTGTCGAAGAGAGTCATTCTTGAGCCAGACTTTGATGATCAAGGAAATAAGTTTCTGTTCTTCTTCACTTTTTACTCTGTTGAAATTATCGCTAGGATTGGGAATCCTTTGGGGTTTCTCAGTCTTTTATTAGTGTAGTGAGTGACTCACATGGTCCCGCCAGAAATTAAATTTAGAAGTGTGGCATGTAACAGCCCTTGAGCATACTCTGCTCAGAATTGGTGCGGTGTTGTATGTAGCTGTTTTCTCAGGATTATTTCAATTGTAAGGAAAATTATTGCTTCTCTAAGCCATGACCCCTAAGCTGTTAGAATTCCAATTTAGCTTTATAAATCCTAGGCCAGAGCACATAGTTCATTAAAATGGTTTTCCAATTCTTATCTTGCAGATTCAACTTTCACGTATCAAACCACCCTGGGTGGTTAAAGGTCAGTCCACTTACCAGATATGCCCCCGCATCATCCCCATCACGGAGTCCTCCTGCCGGGGCTGGACTGGTGCCAGGACCCTCGCAGACATTAAAGCCCGTGCTCTGCAGGTCAGAGGGACGAGAGGCCACCACTGCCATCGAGAGGCGGCCACCACTGCCATCGGAGGGGGGGGTGGCCCGGGTGGAGGTGGCGGCGGGGCCACCGATGAGGGAGGTGGCAGAGGCGGCGGCAGTAGTAATGGTGGTGAGGCCTGTGACCACCCTAAGCCCAGGGGATCCCCGAGCACCCCTGGAGAATGTGCGTCAGATCTACAGCGAACACAACTACTGCCGCCTTGTCCTCTAAATGGGGAGCAAGCCCAGGCCATAACTGATGTGTCCAGAGCCAAGAGAGAGGACCTCATGTCTCTCAAAAAGGGAGAGAGCAGTCCTGTACGAAGGGTTTCAGACGTCCTCACAAGCAGACTGGATGATGCCTCCCAACTCCCCGTTGCTCCAACTGGGGATCAGCTATGCCCTCAAAGGATCCCAGATTCCCTGTCCTCCACAACCCCAGCACCTGAGAGATTAATTGAGCAGCCTCCATTGCATCAAGATGTTAGAACTGAATGTGGGTCTGGTACCACTTCCTGGGAAAATGATAAAGAACAAGGACCCACTGTACCCACAGAGAACAGAGCTATTCAGTCTCTGGTGGGGGATGTTGTATTAGAAGAGGGAACTGGCCAGACTATAGATGGTGACTGTCCCACCATGAAGGAGCCTGTGAATGTGACCCCCATTTTCACTCCTGAATCGTCATTTGCTGGTTGCCTGCAGGACAGACAATTTGATGACGAATTAGGTCTTGGTGACTCATGCCCACCCATAAGGGAAAGTGCTACTAGACAAGAAAACTTGAAAACTAAGGCTCTTGTCTTTGCTGGTGCTGCTGCTTGGATGCCTGGCCCATCGAATGACAAGACAGTGGGACAGCCTGAACTGAACTCTGAAGAAAATGTCCCATCTGTTGAGCCCCAGGTCAGCAAAGAGCCGAAAGAAGCTCCTCCCCTCACTTCTGCATTGCCTGGGGGGTTGATAGCTGAAGAGGGTCTAGAGCCCCCCAGTAGCTTTCCTTCACTCTGGACAGTGCTGGCTGGAGGATATGCTGACAGTTCTGGCAACAACTGCAAACAGGTGGAAGTTGAGAGGCTGAAAATCAATGGAGACTGTGAAGCATTGAGTCCTCACAGTGAGTCCACAGACACAGCTTCTGACTTTGAAGGCCACCTCTCTGAAGACAGCAGTGAGGCCGATCCTAGTGAAGCCACAGTGACAAAGGAATCTTTGGTGGCAGACAAGGAGGAGAAACATGACTGTAACCTATCTGCCTCACTGTCCAAGGTGAACAGTGACCCAAGTCTGATTTCAAGGACAGATGAAATAGCTGCTCCTCAGAGCTGGGTGTCTCGAGTATGTGCAACCCCTCAACGGATCCCAGACTCCCTGCTTCTGGCCAGTACTGAGTACCAGCCAAGCCCCATGCCACTGGGCAGATCCGGGTCCTCAGTGGAGGTGACTAACCCACTAGTGATGCAGTTGCTACAGGGCAGCCTGCCTCTAGAGAAGATTCTTCCTCCAGCCCTCAACAGCAAACCTGAATCTGCACACCTCCCACTCATGGAAGAGCCGAGCCAGGGTGGATCCCATGGAATGGGATCTTTACAAGATCCTGGAGAAAACCGGTGCAAGTTTGGCAAAAGCAACCCTAGTACTCTAACATCTTCGAAGGAACCACTTCTAATCGAGAGCCATGAAGCAAGCAGTAATCTTGCCAGACTAGAGGCCACCCCAACTTCTGGTGCGCCCCAAAAGAATTTCAAGACAGCCCCAAGTTTAGACTCCCTCTATCCAGTGACAAATCCAATGGCTGCCTCTGGGAAACTCCAAGGGGATTCCAAAGAGCAGTTCTCTCTCTTCAGTTCTGAAGATCAAAAGGAAGGCCATGACCTATCCCAGTGCAGTAATCCCATTACTGTCCCAGGCAAGAGTCCAGGAAATCTCACTACCTCGAGAGCCCCTTGTTTCTCATCTCCAAATGTGATCTCCATGGGTCCTGATCAGACAGTCCGGGCCCTGAGTGATCAGAACAGTGCTGGAGGCCAAGGGAAGAAACTCTTTGGCTCTAGGAATGTGACTGCAGCCCTTCAGTGTCCCAGGCCTGTGGCACCAGCGCCACAACCTGCTGATACTCCTCCTGGCTTTCCTAGTAGGAAGTTGGAGCCAAGCAAAAACCCTGTATCTGGTGGGGTACAGACTCCCAGGGAGGATTGGGCTCCAAAGCCACCGCCTGCCTCTGTTAACAGCATCAAGAGTCAGAAGACTTTTGTGGGGGGCCCTCTCAAGGCGAATGCAGAGAACAGAAACGCTGCGGGGCCTAGTACTCGGGAGCTGGTGGATCACTTGCAGGGAATGCCCTTTGTCCTTGACCTGCCCTTCTGGAAATTACCCCGAGAACCTGGGAAAGGACTCAGTCAGCCTCTTGAGCCTTCCTCCATCCCTTCCCAACTCAACATCAAACAGGCATTTTATGGGAAGCTTTCCAAATTCCAGTTAAGTTCCACCAGCTTTAATTATCCTTCCAGCTCCCTCACCTTTCCCAAAGGCCTTGCTGGGAGTGTGGTGCAGCTGAGCCACAAAGCACACTTTGGTGCGAGCCATAGTGCATCACTGTCTTTGCAGATGCTCACCGACAGCAGCAGGCTGGAAAGCATCTCACTCCAGTGTGCGTGCAGCCTGAAAGCCATGATCATGTGCCAGGGCTGTGGTGCATTCTGTCATGATGACTGTATTGGGCCCTCAAAACTCTGTGTATTGTGCCTTGTGGTGAGATAATAAATTATGGCCATGGGAAAAGCTGTATATTTAGTGTGTGTATTTTGATAATGATTGATCTTAAATCTGCATACAGAATATCATTGATATAATAGACTGTCTCTCCAGGCAAGAGCATTCTTGCCTCTCCCTAAAATCTGTAGTGCTAAAGCTCCTCCATCATTTAACTAACCCTTCTGGTCTAACTGGAGGGGTTTCCTGCAGGGCAACTTGTTGGGCTGCCCACAGCTGACTAACCAGCCTGAGCTCCCAATGCAGACAGCCTGGTGCGTCGTGGGGAGCCAGCCTGACCCCTAGAGGGACTTGAAGCTGAGGCAAGAAGGTTGTGTCCTCCACCAAGGGAATTCACCTACCTGAACTGAGTAGAAATGTCAGTCTTCCACTGCCCCCTCTCTACCATCTTTCCTTCTACCCAGTCTGGGGAGTTGATGGTTGGTAAGAAGCCAGCAAAGGGTTCCAGTTAACTCCCAGCAGTGCCCACCAGGGGGCTCAAGTACCTGCTGACTTAAGGGTCACAGTCAGTCATTTGCCTGTTGACCTTTGGTTCTGTTGCTGAAGCAGATCTGGAACTTTATCCACTGGCCCACAGGAGCTTTTGGAACCTTGAGTAGCCCTGCTTGGACAATAGGGTTGGGCATAGGCCTGTCTTTACTCTTGAAATGCCATCTGTAGACCTTCTAAATCAGATGCCCAGGCATTTGGCGGGTGAATTCCTCTGCTTGACACCCTCCCCGTCACTTTGGACTCTGGGAATGGGCATCTCCACGCACCTGTGTATGTGACAGTCATTTTACATTTCAAAGCAGTGTGTGTTTCTTATTTTTATATTTTTAACTCTTTATCCTTGGATGTATAAAGTGAACTTTTTGGCTTCTGTAAGTATGCTCTATGCACCTCTAATGTTTTATCATGTATTTATATGTTGTACACAGTGCTGGCCAATTCTGTAAATGGATGTATTATACAGAGAACATGACCATCTCTCCCTTATTTTACGTCTTCAGCGTCATTGCATTCAAGTGGTGTAATTGACTTCTCTCTACCTGTGCCAGAGCCACTGCGTGCTGTGCTGCCTAATATGAGAGGGGCGTGATTGACTGGTGTTTTACCAGGTTGGCCCACATACCCCGCCACAGCCTGCCGAGCCACAGTCACTCCTGTAAGCTACTGAGCAAATGCATCTTGCTCCTCACCTCTTCTCCAACCTTCACTGGCTGCTTGCTGCCATTTGGGACAAACCACCACCAGTGTTAAGTGCTCCTGGATTTATGGGTGAGTGCCCTGGGCAGCCCCAAGCAGGCCTTCCAGAACTGGCTCTAGGGTCACCATCTGTCAGCAGTACCTGGGACCACACTTTCCTGGTGCCACAGGACTCCTTTTGACTTAGTTTTGACAAGTCGGGAAAGAAACAAGTAGATGTCTCCATAGTTGTCTTCCCTCTTCCTGCCCTGCCTTATTTCTTGTACCTTGACTTGCGGCAGAGTTGAGAGTCCTCCCTGTTTAACCCAGGTCTCCCTGTGTGAGTGCTTCTGTATGGAGTATAAATTTGGTATGGCCTCAGCAAGCCTCATTTCATCTGAAGGGTTTCTCCCCCACCCCCATTTCATCCACTGTGGCATTTTTGTCATCTGAAGCATGAGTGAAAAGTTGGCAATGATGTGGTGGTGATTTAACTGCAGTATTGGCAAAGTCCAAGTTGTCAACTTCCAGAGTCTGTTTACCAAAGATAGGGAACAGAGGCCTAAGTGTGTCTGATCCTCTTCTTCTGCTGTGACCTTTGGGGCCACTCTAGGGTAGTTTGAAACTGGTCTGGTCCATGGGGCTGCCCAGGGAAAGCACTGCTCTTGTATGTCTCTTGTGGTATTGGAAAAATAAACCTGTACAACCTGCATTTGTGGTCTCGGTCATCTTCTGTGGCCACCCTGATGGGATGGGAAGGAAGGCCAGGTTGGAGAGTAGAAGCTGCATTGAAGGAGCAAACCCCAGCTGACATCACCTTGGCTCTGGAACAAATGTGACTCTTGTGAACTTAGTTCTACAGATGACTCGTCAGTTTCACTGGTATTTGGATCTGCAAAACTTGGCCAACTTTCACTGTGTGCACTAGCAGCAGAAATCTAATGAAACTGATGGGGTGTTTTTGCCTTGTGTGTCAAAGCCATGAACTCACATCCCTCCATAGCTACTTACCCCAACTGCCTCATCAAGACTGAGATTGCTGAAGAGATTTCCTAATGGCTGCTCATCTGTGGGGCGGGTGACCAGTTATGACCTTGAAAAGCCATAAATGCAAGAATCTCTCTGAGCAATAGCAGGCAGCAGTGAAGGAGGTGCTGGCATAAGAGGAAGTCAGACTAGTCAAGTGAGCCTGAGTGGATGACAGGCTGTAAGAGGTTCCCAGTTAAAAGTCCTCAGACTTAAATGGAGTACTTCATAATGATTTGGGCATATCAGAAACTCAGTTTATAAATAAGCTGAAAGCACAGGGGAAAAAAGATGGAAGCGAAAACTAAAATACGTATCCTTTAATTTGTTTCTTGTGAATTGGAGAAGGTATACTGTATGGTGGAATACCTTTGGTGGAAGCACAGTCTGTGTTGCCCTCTTGTGGGTGACTTTCAGTGGTGAAGAGTGGGCTTTGTGGTGTTGGAGATTCATACTTGAAACCAGATGCTGATGGTGCCCCTTGCTTCCTCTTGTCTCTTGTGCGTCAATTTGAGGCCCGAAATGAACATCTCTAACCACCAAAAGATAGAGGCAAAAGCTCTATAAGGGCAGTTGGAGCTGGTGTTTGGTGGTGGTTCTGTTAGACAGAAGGGCAGTTGGAGAAGTTAGAGTCAGGTGGCTGTGTGGTGACTGGGCAACTACTTTGGTGGTGTGTGTGTGTGACTTTGTGTCACACAGTGCCTGCTTCATCTGCAGGGTTGGGACCTGACATTGCCTATCGAATCTCAGCAGGAAGGTAGAATGGTGTGGGGGCGGGTTAGACTTTGTTACCTCCCAAGGTCTGTGATTGGGGTAAGTTCCTTGGCTTCTCTGCCAGCTTCTTCCTCAATGGGAATTATAGCGTCTCCATTACAAAGTAGTGGCTGGCCATGTGACCTTACAGTAGCAATCTGTACAAGCTCCTGTTTTGCTTGACCCTCACCCCAGAGGGGAGCCATGGGGCTGCTACAAGTGCTGTGCTAAAGAGGTAGTGTGGGCTCTAGTTGGCCATCTGCCGTTTGAACTACTACAGCCATTCAGTACACGTTCTGAGTTTAGAGACTGAGTGCTTGGCAAGAGAGGATTATTTTACTTGTGGTACAAAGATTGAGGAAATGGTTTGGAATATGAAAAAGCTATCTTACTGGCTGGACGTGGTGTCAGTTTATTTTATGTCTCTTTTTGAAGTCAGACCCTGCTTAAAAGAGGGGTGTGTGGGTATGTGTGTTTATAGTAGAGTGCCTCAAACTCATCAGGGGCCTTAGGGAGCCAAAGATTTGCCCGCCCTGCGCTCTGAGAGTAGGTGACACGGCCTGTGTTGCCCTTGTGTGGGTGACTTGTAGTGGTGAAGAGTGGGTCTTGTGATGTTGGAGGTTCATACTTGAAATCAGATACCTGCTTCCTTTTGTCTCTTGAGCGTCAATTTGAAGGCCCAAAAATGAACATCTCTAACCATTAAAAGATAGAGACAAAAGCTATGTAAGGAAAATAGTGAGTAACAAAAGGAATTGTCAATTTGGTGGTTCCTTACCTTTCTGAGGACTGGCTCATTTGAGAGCTGGTCAAGCTCTTCCCCCAGGAATACATACAGTTGTGCATGCTATTTCACAGGGTTCACGAGCTCATTAGGCAACTGGGGCCCATTATTTAAGAGCCCCTGATTGATGGTAATCCTGATAAAATCTTAGTTTATACAAAAGATCAGAGAGAGGACGCAAGGGATCTTTAGTGCTCCTTAACAACTATGCTTCCCTAACACATTTTAAATTACTGTTAAAAGTGCAATTACACAATTAAAAGAGGTTATCAGATTTGACATTGGTTAAGTTTTAATTCACTGTTGCCTGGGGGCATTTCTGTTTGCTATTGTCCTGTACACCATTAACACCAGTTATCTGGTGCCCCGTTTAAAGAAACCAGACAGGATCAAGCAGCACTGCCCTGTCCTTGAGTGACTTTGGATCCCAGTGCTCCGAGAGCTGCAGCACCTCATCTGGAGGTAAGTGCTTTTCCAGCTGACTGGTGTAGTCTGCATGAGATGGGTCAGGGTTCTGAATGTGTTCTCAGGTTGAGGGATTTTAATGGTCAGTTGGTGCTTCTTATCAGTGGGAGCTTCAATAGGGCAGGAATTTTCATGGATTACTGAGGATGTGCTGTCTTTGGTCTCTGTAGAGCAAGGAAAGATGAGGCACTGAGGTTCCAGCTCCTGCTCTGGCTGTACTGCTACTGTCGGTAAGGAAGCCAGCAGGTACTCACTCGGTGCCATGGCTTCAAACTATTAGCCCTTCTCCTATCCATTCTATTTATTTGACTGAATTTTAATTTAACAAATTATGCCCATTACAAAAATGTTTTAAAAACAAGTGCTGTATAGTATGTCTGTGTATACACACAAGGCAATTTTAATAGCTAAATTTATGCTTTTAACTAATACAGAATTGTTTCTAAGTTCATGATAATCAGGTTTGCCCAGCCATATTCCTGCAAAATTTCCAGGACGTTAATACACAAGTCATGTAAGTAGAAGGGGTGGAAAGCCCAGGCACAAACATCATTTTGGGAAAAGCATTTGTTTCCTTCGAGGTTTTGGGTCGAATGGATGAAGGTTCGGAAAAGTGATGGTGTTTCCTCACTTTCCAAGCTGAGAAACTATTTGTCAGTAGAAGCTGAACTTTGGGGTAGAAGGGATGCTCTTTGCCGGGAGTAAGTTTAAACTAAGACCTTGCTCGGTGACTGGCTGCTTCTAGGAAAGGGGATGTGCCCATTCCCTGTAAGTGGGAAGAAGAGCACCTCCAGTGTGTTTCCTTTCTGACAGCCTAGGAGTGAAGGGAAGGACCTTCTAGGTGATGGCTCAGAGGCCAAGAAAAGGTGACATCTGCTTTTTAGGTATTTTAGTGCCAAACTAGATTTGGAAGGACGAGAACTAGCTGGCAGGGCAGGTGAGGAGAGGACACAGTGGGGGAAGAAAACACACATTCGGTTTGTTATTCAGTGTTTATTAAGTAGATTCAGTCTTATATATGATATACAGATTCAAAAGAAAAAGGATTCCACATACTTATGAAATCAGTGCATTTAGCAAGTAATACCATGGAGATAACAGCTCGATTAACAGCTCATTGGTCTTTTGTTAAGTGAGGGGAGAGGGAGTTGGCCTGTGCTAGTCATTCCACAAACAAAACAGAATTTAGTTGCATCACATAGAGAAGACACATTCTAAGAATTAAAATATTAAGCCACATTTACTGGAAAAACTCACTATATAGAACACAAATAATTTTTATAGAGCATTGAGGAGGAAGTCCTCACCTGCTTAGAAGAGCCACGTTAAGTTGCATAGGTGCATATCTGTAAAAATATAATTTAGAGGTGAAGCCATTGATTAATAGTCACCTTTAAAAGTTGGTGCCATCCACTGTTTGCCTTAAGTGCCATATGCTGTCTGGACCCTCCAGCCCCTCCCCAGAGGTGATGCCTCATGAATGAGCTGCCTCAAGGGAACCCTGAAAAATGTTTGTACCATCTGCACTGAAAAGTCTTAAAATCTCATCTCAGATGGGGAACTGATGCTCTTTTAAAATATTGTTATGCCAGGGGATGGACAACCTCTTGGGTTCCTAAATCCTAGGTGGCTTGACCCGGAAGATAACATAAATCACTTTGACCTTCCATTCCCAGGCTGCTGGGAGAATTAGACCCATCCCACAACTCTGCAGCAAAGTCCTGCTTTCATTTCATGTCTTGTGTGTCCATGCAGTTACCCACCCAGCGGCCAATAGTCTATTCTCAGTCATCTGCTGCACAGAGATTTTTCTGAGCGTATAAAAGTTTTTCAGCAAATCTGAATTCTATGTGGTGTAAGTTTTGTTTTGTTTTTAGGTGGAATCATAGGTAAAAAGAGAGGTTTTGTTTTGTGGCTTTGCTAAGCAGATGAGCTTAGTGAGGTGCACCTTCCTCCTCAAGAGAGAGTCTTGCAGAACACACAGGGACTGGGGCATCTGTACATGTAAACAGTACACTTTCACTGAGTCCAAAATTAGGAGCAAAAATACAAAGGTTCACATTGGTCTTAGGTAGATACAGGCGAAAAAGGATCGAGCTATTTAGCTCAGAAACAACAAAAACAAAGTTTCTAAAGCACCACTAAATTATATAAAAATCAGACCATGGACGGATTGAAACTGGTATTCTGGTGAAATACTTTACTATCTTGTAAAAAGTTTTACAAAAAATTACAAATTAAAAGTATCAACCCTCTGAGTTCAAAGCAGCATTTTGAAAATGGACTGGTAGTTAATCCTGTAACCGCCCCTGAAGTCATGAGTGGCCCTTGGGACTAGGGGTGGCTGGTTTCCACCTGTTGAAGTCCTCTAAAACCTTCCTAATCCCCTACCTGTTCCCCTCCCCCTCAACACTGTTCTTGGGTATAAACTGCCCCTTTCTACTAGTGGTGACAGTAAAATGAATTTCAGATGGGTTACACTATTACTGGTCTATTAGATCCACCACTAAAACCAAATTCCCATTTCTGTGAGTCGTTCCTTCTGGTGGGATTAGCCCTCTGCAAAGACCCTGGAATTGGTGTATTCTACTGTGGTCTTTTACCTTAGGATCCCAAATAATTGTGTGCCCTGAGGCCCTCCATGTGAATTTTAAATGGCTGTGGATCAGGGCTTTGGAAGCTCCCTTTGGGAGAAGGCAGTCCCTGGGGTGAAGGCGGGACGGCAATGAGCTGGGTTCAGCAGAACCAGCTCTTTGGTGCTCTCCAAGTCAGGAGAGGGAAGGGTTGAAGCTGCATCTTTTAAAACAAAAGCAAAACAGAACAAGTTCCCTGACTGAACTAGCTAATTGAAACCTGTTTCCACATAGTAACTTGCTCCTGATTCTGCCATTACCAGGGCTTCATGTGTAGCTTCACTGGGAAGGAGCCCACCAAGAGGTGGGGTCAACACGGCAGAATCTGTCCTGGATGGGCCACTGGGAGCCCCCATGGACTTTTACCACTGGCATTCCTTTCCTTTCTCTTTAAAATTTAAACCTACACTCTCGCTGCAGTACTAAGGCAGGCTGAAGGTGGTCGGTCAGGACAGCTTGAACTTGGAATAACATGACTTCAAACTGTAGCTTATACTGATCTTTAGATCTAGAAATCCCTCGTGTGGGTTGGTGATGAAAGCTCCTTCCCCCAGTCTTTCTCACTCCTGTCTGTTAAGAAATTAGAACCGTTTGTGCCTGGGCTGGGTCCTGTCTCCGGGAGGAGAGATGACATATTAAGCAATTGTTGTCAAGAATTCTAAGGCGGCGATTGTCTCTGCCAGTTTTTAACATTTAAGATTTTCACAAATTGCCTGGGGTAACATTTTGCAAAGGATCTACTGATTACTTTGTAGTATTGTTCACACACAAAAATAAATATTTACACAAAGTTCAAACATCCGGGGGTGGTACTGAGCAGGTGGGGGCTGGACGTGTTGATGGCGGGGGTGTGGAAGGGGCCTTGGGCACTGGACTTTGTGCTGTGTTAAGGGCAAGTCTTGGGTGTCCTGGTCCTGACAGAGGCCCGGGATGGAAGGCAGAGGTGGTGTGGCTGGGTGGGATGTTGGAGGCCACTTGAGAAATAAGACCACCCCCAACCTCCTGTGGCTGAAACTTAAGCATGGGGTGGGACATCCTACCTTGCAGGTTCTGGATCTGGGGCCCACAGCTCAGTCATGGGTCTGAGGCAGGGTTGGGGGCATCCACATTAGAGCCCTTTCCCCACTCCTCCTGAGGGTCTGCCAGTGCCAGGAGGCAGTTGGCTGCAGAAAAGCTGGTTTGGGAAGGGGTGCCTGCTCTGGGATCAAGTGGCTCTGTGGCTGTCCTAGGGTCCACTTGGCCCTGGCTCCCCTGGGGCCTCTTTGCTCTGAGGGAGGAAAGGCAACAGAGGGCTTCTGCCAGCTCTGGGCAGGGGCGGGCAGCAGACAGCTGCTGCCATGGCTACGGAGTGTTGCTCGGAGAGGCCCTGTGGGCCTTCTGAGGTCTGGGCGAATCCCTGGTTTTAGCAGCACTGGTAAGGTATTGCACTGAGCAAGAGGAAGTGCCTATCAGGGAGGAAGGAAACCAGGCCGGCTTTTTCTTTTTGCCTGTTTTCACACTCCAGGGATTATGGGTTTCTTCTGGGACTGGTCCTCCCAGAGGAAGGCTATCCTAGTAGAACCCAAGTGGCTTCTCCACTACTGTTGATGGTCCCTTTACTCTAACCACGGGGGCAGGGGTCGAGAGCTGCAGTCTTCCCAGGTCTCAAAGCTTTCTTTCCTGTTTGGTGGCTGCCTAACAGCCAGGGGCTTACCCTGAAGACACGGGTCCTTCCCTGCAGGTGTCTGTGGGCACTGGGGCTGTGCACAGAAGTGTTTGGACCTGGCTCCCTGGGGGCAGGGTCCTGCAGATTGGTTGCGGTCTCCCAGCAGCCGAGAGAGGTCTGGGGTCAGGGGACTGCAAGCTGCTGCTTATAAGGGACGGGCCCTCCCTAGGCTCCAGCTCCTGGTCACCTATCTGGACTTACCTCCCAGGCAGACACATCGTGTTGAGGGAGTTGGGGAGACTGCCATTCAGAACAGGCTCAGGGCACATCCTGGAAAAAGCCCATGCTGGAGTGTGAGGTAGAATACAGGTGACCGTGTGACTGGGGCTTATGTGGAGTGGGGGGAGCAGTTTGTTTTTGCTTTGCAGTGGGTGTGGGTGAGGTCCTCCTACTTGGCGGTGCTGAGCAATCAAGAGGGACAGCCAGCCCGGCACCCGCCCCACCCCACCCCGCCCTCGCCAGTGTAGTGATATGGAATGTTAGGTCACAGGGATATATATCCTTCTGATCAGACAGACACAGACTGGCAATCTGTACAAACACAAAAGAATCCATTTTCAGAAAAATAAATTACTAAGGGGAGAGGAAGAAAGGGTCCACTTTGTTTTTCTCAATAAATATGCAATTCTGCTCACCTAAGACTTGAAAGGTAATTATCTGGGGGTGGGATTCTAACATCAGGGTCCACGAAGATGATTCTAAATAGAGCTGCGGCCCCAGCACTTGTCAGGGGAGTCCCAGCCCTTCCAAAGCTGCTCCACTGGCCTCTTCCAAGCAGGTCAGAGCACCCGTGTGGTGAGATTCCAAAAAAAAAGTGTCCTTGTGCCCAAAGTCTCAGGTGCTTGGAGTGTGGCTAGAAACAGCTCTTTTGGATCCCACCTCTTTCAAAAATCAAAATGTACCAACTGGTGAGGCAGGAAGCCAGGTCCAGGGCAGAACAACCTCCTTCCCCTAGGGCAGTGCACTCCAGGTGCCGCTGGGGTCAGTTCTGCTGTAAAATGAGGTTTTCCAGTTCGTCTGCAGAGCGCAGCAGGAAGGCGGCGGACTCTCGGTAACCGGCGATGAGCTGCCGCACAGCGCTGATCTCCGTGGGGCTGAGCTGGGCGGTGGGCATGGTCCTGCTGGTGCTGTTGCTGGAGGGTGTGGGCGTGGGCGTTGTGGAGGTGGTGGAGGCCCCACCTTTCATGCTGAGGTCTGTGGGCCCTGTGGAGAGGGGGGAGAATGAGGGACGGTAGGGAGTGGCTTCTGGGAGGTGACACTCTTCACGGGGGCCTGCCTGAGGCCCGGTTCTGTCTCCAAGGTTGTATCCCTAGAGCCTGGAATGGGGCCTGATACCAACAGATAAGACATGGGGTGCTCTGTGAACCCTCAGAGTGGTCCTGCGAGGAAGGAGACTACCATCGTGTGACAGGTGGGAGAAGCATGCCTGAGATCACATGGCAAATGTGAGGTGTGCTCAGCAGCTGCGCATCTAGGATAGGCTGGCATGAGACAAAGGCGTACGTTTTGGTGTCGGGCAGAGTGGGGTGCTTACCTTTTGTTCCCCAGTGCTGATCACACCTCTACTGCTTTCTAAGAACTGGCCGGTTGATGGTACACCCCCCAAAAAGGCACAGTCCTGGCTCCGGTCTCCAGGTGAGGCGGCAGCCTTGAGGTAAAGGGACTTCCCTGACTCCCCAACATGGTGGGCAGAACTGGCAGGCCTGGGAGGAAACATGGGGCTAGCCCTGGGAGGAGAGCTGTCAGTGTGTCTGGGTTGGTGCAGGTGTGTGCTGTTCCCTCCCCCTGTCCCCAACAGGGAAGATGGTGTTCGAGACACTGCTGCATCTTGGGGCGTCGTGTCCCAAGAAGAATGCGTGAGTAGAAAGCCTGGGAGTCCACAGTGGAGTCACAGGCCAGAAACAGAAACACCCGTATGTGTGCTTGGACAAGGAGGGGGCTTCTGTCCAGCTGGATAGAACTAGCCCTGCCTAGCGTGGGAAAGAGGTAGAGGATGGACCGACCATACCCCTACAGTGCGTGCTTGAGGAAGGGGTGGGTATTAAGCTGATAAGCTGCAACACCTCAAATACCCCTGTCTTTTTTAAGTTCTTTGTGCCTGAATGAGGAGAAGGTTAAGTCGCTGGGGCACGGGAGTGTGGGAAGGGTCACCTCAGGACCCAGAGGTGGTATCTGGCTAGATCACCTCCCCTGTGCTTTGGGATGGTGGCGAAGAGGAGCCAGGTATCTGCTGGAACATACTAGGGGGTGTGTGTGTGTGGGGGGGGGTGTTCACCAGGTCCCATTTCCTCTTCCCCTTTCCCAAGCAACTCCATGGGGTGGGCCGCTGGCTTTGGAGCAACTCCACAGGCAATTATTTTAACTTCCCCAAGCCTCAGCTCCCCTGTCTGCAACAGGAGGAGACTTGGGAGGCTGAGCCATGATTGAAACCCTCGCAGCCTGGGGGGGAAGAGGGGGAGGCCCCCTGGGAAAGGGCTTCAGACAGGCTTCAGGGCTTTTGAATGGGCTCCCAGGAGACAGGGAAGCTACAGAAATTTGAAAAGCATTCTTGAGAGGTGTTTGGAAAGAAAACAGCTAAGAAGTGAGGGTCTGGGGTGTGGGAACTGGAACTTCCCTTGGAAGCCTGCTCTGACTCAGCCTGCTTGGTTTCCCCGCTCCCTGCCCTCACCCCGAGTCTGCAGAGGCTCTTACGCTGGTATGTGAGGCTGCTGCTCTTGGTTACCAGCTGTCTCCCCGCCACACCACAGCTTCTGAAAGCCCTTCTCACTCACTGTTGCATTTACAGTGGCAGGTTTCATGCTGCCATAGAGATGAGTAAGTTCTTATCATTGGAAACATCTAGACCAGAAATAACATGTTGGAAGAAATTATGGAAATGGCTGCTGCTAAAAGGAAGCTGGTGCAGCCCCAAATGGGGAAGGAAGTTGGAGTCTAAGATGGGACACTTTGTCACATGGAGTTATTTCCTCTCTGGCCAGAGAACATGGATGTCAAGGAGGTCCTAGGAACTGGCTCGCTGAAGAGGGCCCTTGGACTTAAGAGTCAAGTATGTTAAAACAAAACACAGGCGAGAAGAGCTGCCACTTGATGGAAGGGACTGTGACTTGCTGAGAACAGCAGCCAAGCAGGTGACTGACGCCCATGTAGGTGGCCAAATGGGCTACTGGGACAGGCTGGGAGCAGGATCCGATGCTGGCTCCTGCAGGGGTGCAACTAGGGCTGGACAGAGAAGGCAGCAGGAGATCTGGTCCCCTGCAGACCATGCCTGGGGACAGCAGAGGAAGGCTAGAGCTACCTGCCATAGTTAGAGGGCCCTGGGGTTCCTCTTTCCTTCCTCTACCCCTAAGTCATCCTGTTCACGCCTATGCTCAAGAGTTGTCCTCGCCTCTGCTGTAGCTCCAGCCTGGACAGAAGAATGTCCCTTTTTCCTACAGCCAGTCTGCTCTGGGGACTTCTTCCCATAGGCTCTATTACAGGCAGACACTTGGGTGGTTGCTGGAGGGAGAGAAACGGGCATAAGTTGAGCAGCACCCCAGGAATACCGGCACAGCCCAAGTTCTATCTAAGCTGATTTGATTTGCATCTCCAGATGACAATGTAATGAGCAAAGTGAGGAGCCGGAACAATAATAGGGCTGTCCATCCAAAGTGCCATCTGACCAATCATTTAAAGGGCACCTGCTGGGAAGGCAGTGGGGCCGGGGGCCCCTGCAGCCACACAACCATTGTCCTTTATCCTAAGCTCTCGGCTCCAAGCTCACAGGCTGCCTCGGCGAGGAGTTCAATGACCACGAATCTGCTTGAGAAGCACGGGGGCAGCGCTGCCCCCTCAAAGGAAGATCTGGTTGCTACTGCCACCACTGGGTCCCAGACCTCCCCACATATAATGGGGGTTCTAACCTCCCTGCCCTGGAACCTGTCTTCAGACACACCGAGTCCCCATTTAGCAGGGCTGTTGGATGGAAGGAAAGCAGCCTGCCGCCTCTCACCGCAGTCAGCCACTCTGGCCTCCGCCTCAGGGATTAGGGCCAGGCAGCCTCTTATGTTAGGTTAAGAGGCATTAGGGAGGGATGAGAGTTAAGCCCAGGCGGGAATCTTCCTAGGACCTGAACTTATTTCCTGGCAGTGGGGAACAAGATGAGTGGAAGGTGCCTGGGCTTTCTACCATGGGGGCTGGGTAGGGACCAGCCTCCTCCCTTACTGCTCAGCACAGTGAGGGGGTCTCCTGCAGCCAAGGACAAGGCTAGAGGAATTCTCAGACACGTTCGGCCAGCACCTAGAACCAGGGTTCCCTGGCCTGTGGGCAGTGCCTTCTAGCCTACTCACATAGCAACTGGGTGTTATCCTCAGCTCTTCCTCTCAGCCCCTGGCCTTTGAGCGATCCCAGAGCACATTGCAGCTGCCTCCTGCCCTCCCCTGTTCAAATCTTCTCACTACAAGGGCAAATAGCATAATTCATGACCCTCTTTTGCTTAAAACCTGTCAATGGCTCCCACTGCGCACACAACAAAATTCAAGTGTCTGATCCAAGAGGCCCTAAAATCCCCCTGCTGCTCTCCAGCCCAGAAGACCCAGCCCCCACCACCGCTGCCTTGGTGTGCATGGGCCTGAGGCCCCACTCTGGTATCTCTCAGGCAGCACCCAGCTCCACGGGGAGGTATATGTATCTTTTAGGAAACAGTTTCTCCAATACTGGTCTGTGTCGTCTCTGCATCAGAGTTGCCTGGGGCGATGGTACAGGGATATCAGTTAGGGAAGCACCAGCCTATGGGGCACAGTAGGGGGATGCCTGTTTAGTGTTGCCAGGGGTGATCTAGAGGGAGCTCCACTGCGGAGGCAAGGGCTGACTGAACCTTCATCTCACAAGTGAGTCAGGTGAGCTGGGCTGCATCTGAACTGGGCCAAATACTGGCACCGCCACCAGCTGTGTGTGACCTGGGCCAATCACCATCTCATAGTCCTGGTCAGCACGGGTCTACAGTGGGGATGTGGAGAGCAGCGCCATGGCAGGAGCTCAGTGCTCTCAGGTGCCCTTAGGGCGGGTGGAACCAGACAGAGGCGCCACCGTGCAGGGAATGAAGCAATAGAGCAAGCCCAAAGGTCGGAGTGGTAGGCTCGTTGTAAGCAGCTGAAGTTTTCCTCACCTTCCAATCTCAGGTCTGGCTAAGATGATGAAATGAGAGTGTCCCTGTGCCACGAGGGGGTCGCTCCGTCTCACCGGCCTCTTCCCCACCTGCCCGACCCCCTTCCCTGAGTCTGTAGTGCAGACCCAGCTGGGTGCTGGTCTGGAAGCCCGGGTCTCCCCTACTCACCATTACTGTGATTTCCTGTTTGGAGGGAGGCAGGGGGCTGCAGGTTGCTGCCCAAGGCCCCGTAACCGCGGTAACTGTAATTGAGGCCACCGTTGACATACACAGGGTCCTGGGAGTAGGAGGAGGCTGGCAGTGAGTAGGTGGAGTGGGTGATGGCTGCAGAGTCCCGGGAGTGCTGCTTGTCTAGGGCTATGGGCTCGTCCTGCAGAGGGGGAGGAAGGAGCTGGAGAACCGAAGGGGCAGCAAGTCCTCACCCCTGTCCCTGGACAGGGTATATGAAGGCTAGAGCCCCAGAGTTCCTGGGAGCCTATGCTGTGGCTGGCTCAATGGAAGGCTTTTCTGCTCCTGCTCCCTGGTTGCCGTGCCCAGGCCCCACCTGCTCTGTTCATCTTCCTGTGGTGGTGTTTGGGGGGTGGGGCTAGATTTGACCCTCCTGCTCAATGGGAAGGGCCCTCTGGCTGACATCCAGACTCCCTAGGTCTGCAGGGTCTGTTTGAGGGGGCTCCTCTGGCTTGCCCCACCGCCCCAGTCACAGCTGCCCATCTTAGCTCAGGCACTAGTTGAGCACTGTCCTCACTACTGCCATACACGAGGCACCCCCATGTCTGTGGAATGATCGGTGACCACCTCTCATCTCCCCAGGGGGTGAGCCCTGCTACCTGCGAGGGCTGGTAGATCTCCAGGCGCATCCTTTTGGCTGCTTTTCTCGTCTCGCTCTCACAGGCAGCTGCCAGGATGTTTTCTGCCATGGCCGAGGTCAGGTGGGGAGGTGTGGGTCTGGTCTGCAGGCAAAACAGGGATGGATTCAGTGTTGGCACTTGAACAGAGACCCTGCCTTAGAGTGCGGGTGATGCAGGGCTGGGGTTCTGGTTCCAAAGCCCTATCAATCATGCTGGGCAATCTTTTTGGGCCTCCGTGCCCTCTGAAAATCAGAGTCACGGTGCCTGTTTCCAGGGTCACTAGGAGGTTTGTGCATAAAGGGTCCCGGGGGTCACCCAGGAGTTGCAGGTTGTGGCTGAAGGTCAGTGGCAGGGCAGAGGGCAGGGGTGGGGCTCACCATCTCCATGCCGTTCTTCTTCATGCGACGGCAGGACTTGAGGTACGTGCGAATGCGCTTGCGGGCCCGCTCCTGGAACTCAGGAAACTGCCGGCTGCAGGACTCGATGATGGCCTGGATCTTCTCCTTGGGCTGCTTGGATATGGGCACCATGCGGTCCAGGTTCTCGTCCACAAAGAGACGCACAAACATCTGTGGGAGACACGGGCCATGGGATGGGGGGAGCTGGCCATGGCTGAGGGCCCCGTCCCCGCCCGCTCTTCACCGGCGCTCACGTTGAAGGCCTTGAGGCGCTCGGGGTCCATGCCCTCAGAGTCGTTCATCTTGTCATTGTCCTCGTGGTCATCGTGGTCGTCGTCATCGTCATCTGCTGGGGGGGCCCGGCCCACTGTCAGGTCCTCAGGGCAGCCACTGACCTCGGTTTTGATGGAATCGTAGCTTCCTGAGCTATAGGGGGGAGACTGAGGGCGAGGGGTGGAGTGTCAGGCCAGGTGGCTGCCCACCACCACCTCTTGGTCTCCAAATGCCATGGGAAGCCTGGGGACTGGATGACGAGCACATGCGGCTGCCCCATGAGCCACATCTGTGAGCTCCAGCAAGTCCCCGCCCCGCCTCCTTCATCTGTGAAGTGGGGACATCAGTGCTGCCCCCACCCTCCTCGGGTGGCTGAGGAGGAACTGCCTGCACAGCACACGCCTGGCACCGGGTACGGGGTGTTGGTGTACTCGGTGGCAGTGCCCACCGCCAGCCAGCCCCTTTGGGTTCTGCCAACATCTGTTCTGGCTTCGAGGTTTTCCTCCCGGATCCCCAGGGGCTGCAACCTTGGGTTGACAACCGAGCTGTCAGGAAAGCAGGCGTGTGCTGTCTGTCGGGGAGGAGGAACAGATGGCCTGGGACAGGGAGCCAGCCAAGGCGACGGGGCCATTAGGCAAAGTGTTCCTCGGGCTCCCGAGCTGGGCTTCTCGTGTCTGCCACCTCCCACAAAGACACCGTGGCCCCGATGCAGAGTGCAGGTGTAGAAAGGGGGGAAGGGAACCAGGCCCACGGGCCATCACCTGGCCTACAGCAAAGAAGGGACCCAGCCCTTCACTCGCACCCTACCAGCTCGGCCCTGCTCCTCTCTCGCCTTGGAGCACTTCCCAGCTCCCTGCTTTCTCCATCTTTTTTCAGCCCTTATGCCTCAGTTTCCGTCCCGCTACCCTGCTCTGGACAGATTCTCTAAGACCGCTCACTGCCTTTTAGAAAATTTGCAGCCTGGTTTCACTCACTGGGCCCCTGACTAGCTGTGTCCTGGGGATGCTATCTCTGCCCCCAAGCTCCTTATGATGTGGCCACGTGGTCACCTGGGAGGCGACCACAGCTCTGACTGAGAGATGGCAGAAGATGGGCATTGGTGCCCAGGCCCGTAGTGGTTGCCACCACTGGGCCTCCTGTTACCACACCCATAGGGGTCAACCCTATCAGGTCATCTGACTTCCCACTGGGCTGTGCTACACTTGCAAGGGAGAGTCAAGAGTCCCCCGGGGCCCAGGACAAGTCACATACCCAAGCTGCTCCTTAGCCAAAACCTCTGCCAGATCAGAGGAGACAGCAACTAAGAGATCCGCTAATTCATGCTCTCAGCTTACTTCCTTGGCTCGCACGTGTGGCCTGAGACCGTGGCGGCAAATTCACCCTCTCCAGCTTCTGGCTCACCACAGAAACAGCTCTGCCTGCTCCTGGTGCCATCCCCTGTCTCACATACTGGCCCCACAGCCTGAGCTCAGACACACAGTGACAACTGAGCTCACCCGTCTGTACAGAACTCTCGCATGAGACGCGCCGTCCCAGGCCAGCACTGGCACCCACCCACCCTCTCTACGGAAGAGGAAACAGGCCCAGGCAGGGGTGCGTGGCTGGAGCCCAGAGGTGCAGGACTCTGAGATGGTACCTCTGGCCTCTCAGCCCCGGCAGGAGAACTCGTGCCTAGTAGTGCTCACGTGCCCAGTGCTGCCCAGCACCTCAGCAGGAGACCTCAGTGGGCTGGAGGCGGCTTGTAGACATGTAAGGGGAGGCCCCAGAAAACAGGAGCAATGCCAGGGGCACCTGTCACCCCCACCAACCTGGTGTACTGAGGAGTTTCCCACACCCTCATCCCTGGGCCCTCAAAGGCCTCACCCTTCTCCCACACCGCCTGCAAAGGGGGCCAGGCACACCGAGTAGTCGGGTAATGAGCGGCCTTGGGCTCCTGCGCAGAATGCCACCGAGGGTTCTGGGGAGGAGGAACAGGCCACACCTCCCTACTGCCTCCACCAGGCAGGAGCCATAATCTCACTTGACAGAAGGGGGAGATCCAAACTCAGAAGCGAGGGCCTCACTTCAGGCCCCACACTGAGCGTTCTCTCCTCCTAGAGCCTCCCCAGGAAAATGACAGCAGAGCAGCCACGGCCACTGTCCTGTCTTGGTATCACAACTCCGGCTACCTAAGCTTACATTTTGGCCTCGCACCGCCCCACACACCTCAGGGGTGGTCTTCACTCCGTACTTGACGCGGCTCCGCAGCCCATCTGTGCCGCAGCCATCCGAGGGATAGGAGGGTGTGCTGAGCGCCGTTCCTGGTGGGAGCTTGTCACACAGGTTGATGGGCTGGTCCTCCGTGGTGGCTGTGAAGTCCATGGGGGCCACAGCGCCGTTGCCGTTCATCTCGGGGAAGGCCGGGTCGCCCTGCGTGCTGCTGGATGTGGACGGGTTCAGGGTAGAGGAGCCATTGCCACTGCCACTCTCGGAGGAGGAGTCATCTGGAACAAGAGGCCTGGCTGTGAGGTCCCACCCCAGCACCGTGGGCCCTCCCCCCACACGGCAGCCACAGGACTACCTGCCCTCTGCAGTCCTCTCGAGTGTCCCCGGCAGGAGGTGAGCACTGCTGCCTCCATTAGAGGTGCCAAGACCGAGGTGGGGGCAGGGTCCCTCTGCCAGAAAGCCTCGGGGCCAAAAGGAGCGACTTGGCCCTGGAGCGCACAGGGCTGGGAGGTCTGCATGCCACACCCACAAACGCCACATCAAGGGAGGCCGATTGCCTGGAAGTGAGTGGCCACAGCTCGTCTGGCCAGCCTGCTGGCTGCCAGAGGTCCTTGGACATGCCAGAGGCCATCTGGGGCCGAGCCAGGCCCTCCCTTCTCCCCAGTTACTAGGATTGCACAGTTCCACTCAGGGGTTCCAGCCAGTGGCCCCCTCTTCCTCACCACTGCCTTGCCTTCTCCCTATAGCACCTGTCCCCATACCAAGCCCTGGAATTTCTCCTTCCTCTGCCTGCTGAGGGAGGGATGGCTCCAGTTACCCACTTCCTCCTGCAAGCAGGCCCAGTCCAGATATGACTATGCAGGCACATCACCCCCCAGCTTGCCCTCTCTGCAGGGCACGTGGCCTCGGGCCAGGGCTGCAGGGTTTCCGTCTGTATCCCTGTATCTGAAAGAGCTGGCAGCCCCACAAAGTCCTGCCGAGGGCGCCCCCTGCTGTGCAGAGCCCAGCACTGCCGGGGGGATTTAGAAAGTCAAACGGAGTAGCCGCTGGACATTTTCAAATTCCAGCCCCTCTCCCGAACAAGCCTCTGCCTCCTTTTTGATCAGCTGAGAGGCAGCGTCAGAAGCCACACTTGGGTTCCCCAGGTCCCCGTCCGGTGGTGTCCCGTGCGCCCAGGTTCCCCAGCAGCTCGGCCACTGCCCCGAGTGGGTGGGGGAGGGGCGGCCACAGTGACTCCTGACTCGCATCCCAAACCGCCTCTTCCCCACGCCAGGGTCTCTCTGGTCCCGCCTCCACCCTCCCACCCAGGTAGATTACGAAGATTTAGCCCATGGGCGCTGAGAGCCGGGAGCAGGCGCACCACCCAGCGTCCCCATGGCGACCGAGCAGCTCCAGCTCCCCAACCAATCGCCGGCCTCCGGCCTGCCCAGGGGCGGGGCCGGCCTGCCCATCCAACAGCCGGGGCCAAGGGGGATGGGAAAGGCCTCGAGAAGTGTCACCCCTCCCCCTCGGCTGCTGCAGGTCCCCAAGGATCAGGCTGCTCCTCCACCTCCTTCCACAGCTCCGCGGTCTGCCCACAGCCCCCCACGCCGTGCTCAGCTACATTCGGGGGGCCTCGGCGCCCGCAGGTCCGAGCCCCTGCTACGCCTGGGTCCTCACTGGCCATCCCTGCTTCCTCCTCAGTCACCACTTGGCAGGCTCTCCAGGGACCTGTCTAGATGTTTGTGGAATGAACAAATTACCCAGCAGTATTTCCGGAGCACCTACTGCCCGCCCGGCCTTGTCCCAGGGTGGGAAATAAAGAAGTAACTGTAACCTGCGGTAGCCCTGGGGGTGGCGGCGCTGCTGCGAGGACAGAGTCCTGCCAACCATGAGGAAAGTGATTCATGGGAAAGGGCCTCCAACTTGCCAAGCACTGGTTTCCTCCACCCACCTTGCCCAGCTTCCAGGAGTCGCCTTGTCAGCAGCAGGGACCCCCTCAGATTCACACCCCTATCCTTATCCAGAACCCACCTAATTATTGGCTCCTGGTTCTATAATCTTCCTGGTCCCCACTGTCCCCAGAGAGCTCCACGACCTCTGCAATCTCTCCCAGCCCAGGTCCCGCTACACCGGCCGCTGCCGGACCTCACATGCCCAGCTGCCATGTTTGCTGCCAGCTCAGTCCACCTTCAAGGGCTGCCTCCTCAGGGCTGGCCCCTTCCACCTCCACTGTCCTTAGGAAGGAGGTGCTCGAAGCCCCAAGCCCAGTCAGGTGCCTGTCCCTCCTAGGGGTACGTCATACCTCCTTCACCTGGTCCGGGATCAGTCATGAGAGCTCCCCATCCCTCACAAAGGCAAGGTCTTTTGCCACAGATGCCCCCACACCTGGTGTTCAGGACCCTTTTTTGCAGCGGCTGAGGAGCTGGAGGGCAACTGGCTGAGCAACTATGGCCCCAGCAGGCGCCCATTCTGAGCCACCTCACAGGCATGACTTCACACCCTGGCACCCTCCCCAGACCACTCACCTGACTTCGAAGGGCCTTATCTTCTTCCTCTGGGTCAATGAGCGCCATGCCTGGCACATGGTGAGCCAGTCGCCACTGCGTTCAGCAAGGGCATCCAGCCCATGGCCTTGTGTGCCACACCCTATATGGGCCCAGAAGTGACACCCAACTACCTGCTTCCTCAACCAGGTTTTTCCTCCGAGGGATGGGCCCCTCTGCCCAGTGCCTCTGCAGGCACGAGCATGTCAGAGGCTTGGGTGCTGCTGAGGATGCACAAGTGGGGGCTCCTGGGCCCCTCCCACTGTCAGCTGCCTGCCAACACCCATGCCCCAGGAATGCTCTGCCAGGGAGACACAGGCACCAGCCCCAATGGTAGCAGACCTCCTGCTACTTAGATGCCGCCCTGGCCTGGTAAGAGAAGGGCTGGGCAGACTGGACCCATCGGGAGTGGACATGGTGTGGCCATGTAGTCCAAGTTCTCATAAGGAACTGGAAATCTGTGCTATTAGGTAAATATCCAGATTTTAAAACATCCTTGACTGACTTAACATTGTTTACATTTTGAAAAAACCTTGGGAGCCAGAGGAAATAAAACAATGTGGTCTATCCATGCTGTGGACTATTGTTCAACTGCGAAAAATGAATGAAATTCTCACATTGGCCACAACAGGGACGAACTTTGAAGACGTTCTGCTGAGCGAAACGAGCACGACGGGACAACACCGAATGAGTCTAGTTACACGCAGTACCTAGAACAGGCCGCTTCGGAGACAGAAAATACACGAGGAGTGCCGGGGGCTGGCAGGAGGGCGCGCGGATGGTGAGTTTCTGCTTAATGGACAAGGAGTTTCTGCTTAGAGTGATGAACCCCATTTTGGAAACAACGCTGCTGGACGCACCACACTGTGAATGAAACTGCTGAACGGCACGACAGAAATGGCCAACCGCTGTACATCCCTGACTCCCTCCACACACACAAAATCCCGAGACTGAAGGGGGGAAAAACCAAGAAAAAATTTAAAACCCTCTGAAACAAAACAAAAGAATACCCCAAAGCCTTGAGCAGGCCAGTGGACCCCAGCGCACAGGCTCTGTGTGCTCCCGGGGCCAAGCCCACCCGAGACGAGACAAGAGGGTCAGGGTCACGATGCTTAGGCCGCCCTCATGCTGCTGCCGCCTGCCCCGGACCCTGCGCAGGGCTGCCTGCTGACGGGGCCACATTGTGCCCACCAGGGAGCCATGGTGTTAGGCAGAATGCAGAAGGGCTTCGTGGTGGGTGCGGCACCAGCCCCCCCGCCCCCCCCCCCCCCCCCCCGCCTTCAAGAGGCTACTTCGCCTTCTTGAGCCGTGGTTCCGTTCAGGCGGGGCCGTCGGGGGTGAGGGATGGGGCGCAGACCACACCTGGTCTATAAAGCCTGGCCCCTCAGGCCCCACGCTTTCTCACTTCAAAGCTCTGCCAACCTCCTGTGCACCCAGCTTCCCTGCTACAGCATGGGCTTCTGGGGACCCCTCAGAGGCCAGCCTGGTGACAAATTTGAGGTGGGTGTAGTGAGGGGATAAAGGAGAGGACGAAGCACCTGGGAGAGGCCCTTTCTGCTCTCTCCTTCCTGTAACACCTAATGGGTGTCAGGCCTCCTCTGGGGTACTGGGGACACGGGTGAAAAGACAGGGGTGGGCACTGTCTCGGGGGTTCACACGCCAGTGCTCAAGAAACCAACCATAAAGGTCTGACAGGAGAGTGGGCGCCAAAGAGCCTGTCCTAAACTTTCTGAACCTCAATCCACACCCCCTCTGTCCCGCTCTTCCAGGAAGCCCCCCCGATGGCAGAGCCCAGTCTCACCTCAGCTCCAGACCACTGCTGGGCACGGCAGGAGCAGAGCAGGACGAGGAGGCTTCCTGGAAGAAGGAGCCCAAGGAAGAAGCCTCAAAGGACAAAGCTGAGAAGGCCCCGGGGCAGGGGCTGAAACCTCCAGACCCAAGCAGGGGCAGGTTGCTGAACTGTATGTGGGGCACCGGTGGCCCCCAGCCGCTCACCCCACTCTAGCTGTGCTCTGGGCCTTGGTGCTTGCTGTTCCTCCCCAGTGAGCTCCCCAGGACTTTGCTTAAAGGTCATCTTCTCAGCAAGACCTCCCCTGCTCGGGCCCTGGCCCACTCTGGCATGCTGACCCCTTCACCTATTTCTCCAAAGACAAGCCCTGGACCTCCCGACTGTGGGAGACAATCACCTCCGTGCTGCTGAAGTCCGTCAGAGACCGCGTGCATCGCGCATGTCTGCTTATGGTCTCGGGGTCATCCAGGGTGCTTCCCTGCAAGGGCCGAGGGAGTGGACCCCAAGCCGGGTCCTCTCCTCGCCGTGGCCCACAATGCCCAGGTGTGTCCCTCCGGCTCAGTCCGGACATGGCTGGACCCACAGAGCCCGGCCGTCCCCCAGCACGGGACGTGGCCCGGAGAGCCCGTCGCCGGGGAAAGAAGGAACAGAGAAGGTTCCGGCCCATTCCCGATCCTTCTGCCTCCCGGTGCCCTCCAAACAAAAGTGATGTCAGAGAGACAAAGACGCGCAGCCAGACCCCAACAAGAGCAGGCCAGGCGAGTGGGCGTGGGCGCGGGGCCTCCCTGCCTCTTGACCTTGGGCACAGCCCGCCTCCTTGGTTCCTCTTATCTGCAGCCCAGGGAGTTGCCACTGACGCCCTCTGGGCTCCGACACTTTATGGCTCTGTGAAAGAACCCAGCTGGCCCCATGGGCACCAAGGGCCCGGCCCACGGATGAGGCACGGGGCCTGGGGGGCGCGGGC